CCGCACTAGGCCCGCGACCCCGTATAGCAATTCTCGACTCAATGCTGTGGTTATATATGTCCGAAATGTAAGATCTTCTTGAGAGGTATTCCAGAAGCGTCAAATGTGACGAATCAGAAATCTGCCCGCATTTTAGGGATATTTATCTGGATGAGCGATTGCAATTGTAGTTGCAGCGTCCGATATATTGGTATAAGGCTGGAGCCCGTTTACTCTTGGAACTTCAAGCTGATTGGTGGCATCTATCTTTGGAAGTATAGGTAAATTCAATTAGAGGAGAGCGTCGAGGTTGTTAATTGCATCTTGAGTGGGGAATACGAAGTCGGTTTAAGTACTTATTTAGGAGTGAGAGAGAGAGAGAGAAATTGAAGGGGGGAGAGGAAGGGAGTAGAGGCGGCATAGCTAGAACAGATAGGGACTGACAGAAGGGGACAATAGGTAGGAACAAATAAGCACTTACTTGTAAAGGTAGGGAGAGATTGGGACTTATAGAGGCTGAGAGTGAAAGGAGTGAAGAGAGGGTGGGTTGGAATGGCAGTAATATATACGCGTTATAGACAGTTCAAATTTTATCCTAGATACTTGAACCGATCAATAGAGCACTATCGAGTCGCCAACACAATATGAGAGTACGAGAACTTGTTTCAGTGGATACATAGAATCAGGTCGGGAGCACATAGCTTATATAGATTCTTACTCCCACTGGGCAGCTTGTGTTAACAATTTTGGAGTGCAATTTGCACGTCTTTGGGGCTCTCCTTGAGACTGAGTCGGATGTAGGATGGGTTGGGGATGTGATGGAGATTGTTGCTTAACAGGAATTTGGCGACGGCTAGTCCCTGTTGAAGGCAGTTAGTTCTTGTAGATCATCTGTATCATGAGCTCCTGGAATATTAACGGCGATATCACACTCTCCAGTTTATAGGAAAGACATCTCCACTACACAGCGTCGCTCACGCTACATACCCCATTTCCATCTGAACCGGGAGCAACAAAACACCTCATTAACACTAAGAAATTTGAACTTGAACAGTTCTTTGGAGACCGGATCCTGCCCTATGCCATCCTATCTCACACCTGGGAAGATGGCGAGGTCACGTTCCAAGACTGGCAGCATCTCGAGGCCGCACCACGAAAGCTGGGATATCCGAGAATCATAGGAGCCTGTCGCCAGGCACGATTGTATCACTTGAGATACGTCTGGGTTGACACAAATTGCATTGACAAAACCAGCTCTCCGGAGTAGAGTGAGGCAATCAATGTCATGTTTGCATGGTACCTTGATGCAAAACTCTGTTTTTTGTACTTGGTTGACGTCCCATGGATTGGCAGAGACAAGGATAAATTGAGGGTTTTCCGCAAAATCCGGCGGTGGAGTCGAGGATTGACTCTTCAAGAATTGATTGATTCAAGAGCAGTGCGTTTCTATTCGCGTCAATAGAAGTTTATAGGCTGTAAAATGTCAGGAATTACGCCTCATATTGAAGAAATAACTGGAATTGAGTTCCTACCGAGACAAGTATTTCTGCCACTTAACTGGCGAGTTGTAGAACCGGATATTTTTGTTCAATTCAGGGTCAGGCGTTCGCTAAAACCCCTCGAGCGAAAACTTGCGCCTCGCTGAAACGAAATTTTGTTGATGTTCGATGATGGCAAGCCCTTACTAGACAGAGAACTCTCGTACACCAAGCCTGATCGTGGGGTATATTTGCTTGAGCGTGCAGAAGTCTTCATGAACCCCAAAACATATCCATCGGATCTTCTCGACGAAGAGAGAGGCATGTTTATATTTGATCCTAATATCAATGGTTTTCTTTGTCTGGGAGGACGGGAAACTGACGGTTGCGTCGTCTTTCTTGCCATCAAGCCTGTGGGCAGTGGACTGCTTTGATTTTGCGATATTTTACTACCGCCAAAATTCTGGGAAAAGGATCTTGGGCAACTTTTGAGGAGGGTTGAGAAAAGAGTGTAGTTGTTGGACAGAAAGCTTACGCAAGCTGTATTGTTGAGCAGTAAGGAAAGTAACATTCGGTTAGAAGTCCAGGAGCACGAAAGCAAAGCCAATGCATGTATCATGATTGAAAAGGGAGGGAGTGTACCGCAGCCGTCGAAGTGTTTTCCGAGTGGCCTATATCACGCTAGACAGAGAGAAGTTAAAAATGATTGAGAGCGCCTGCCTAAGGAGAACTATAACGAGTTCAGTGCCGACAGCGAGAGTGATGCCATTTCGGGCGCGCCAGGGTTAGCCCAAAACAAGGGAAGAAAGATTTATAGGTCGCTCGGTCTTCACGTCAAGTTCTAGATGATGCGATAGCGGTGCAAAATACTGCAATATATTCTCGAATAGCACCGAGCTTTCCGACCTACGGCTTCCATCACGTTTGAAGTATTTGATGGAGACTTGATGTATCTGGATTTGATGGGGTCTTTGAATGCAATTATCTAGATACTGATTGCACCAATGGAAGATCCCGCTCACCCTCCGCCCCCTCTACTTTTCTACTCTCTTTTCGGGGGCCCAGCTTCAAAATTGTCCAACTAAATATGCCCACAATAGCTATCTCAGGTAATGTTGCCATGAACATATATATGGCTGGGTGTCCAACAACTGTATTAAAAAGCTTGTTGGCTGTGATAATATAGAGAAGCGCGTGAACCATCCGTACTGCCAAACAAGGTATGCAAATTGCCACGCATACCAAAACAGGCTTGTCCCTTTTTGGAACTGGACTCCGACGTAACCACATTGCGAAGATTATTCCAACCATCCAGAGGTAAATAAGCGTGTTGAGTGCAATACCAGCTCGACTATAAGGAGTAGGTGCCAAGGCATCCTTTCTTCGGCCAACCATCACAAACCCTGCGATCGACACTCCCATATCAACATACGCGAGTATCTGTGGGACGAGAAAGTAATTCTTATGGATAACGCTTGTAGACTTATTTCTGCAGGCTAGGTAAGCTTGGGTAGAAGTAGAGCAAGAGAAACAAGGGATCTAACACTTTCTCGAGTAATCCCAAGAGGAGAAATACCAATAACAGTATCCCAACCGCTTCGCATACCAATACTGTAGCCCAGAGGCCTCTCGAATTTCGATTTATGAGGGCAAGCATGCAACTTCCGCCAACAATTCGGCATAATGATAAAAGCTGATTCCGAACCAGCCTGGCTTTTGTTCCATTTTTTAAATTTGACACCGACCAATAGAAATATTGGGAATACAAATATCTGTATAACTGAAATCCGTCACGGTAGTCGAACGAACCCATTTTGACATTGTTTGGTATGTGTTTTTGCGACAACAACTGAAAAAAATAATTCTATTTGTGCTTTGAGTCCCGAAGCGTGTGGGCTACAAGTATATAAATGATCAAAAGATCCATAGAATCTCCTAAGCACTTATACCTCGTAGCCATCATGGGAGGCTGTGTTGGCAGTGTGGGTAGTAATCAGTCCAAATAGGGTAATACCAGATGTTCGCTTAGCGGCTTACAGCGTCCGCAGTGGGATCACTCTCAGGGGGAGAAAAAAGACGCCGATTTGAGGCACAGGGCCACCCCACCTAGCACCACCACTACCTACCTAGTATTCAAAATGTATATAAAACCTACCCAAATAGATTTAAAGAATATAGGGACCGCGATGGATAAATAACATATTACTAGAAATTATTCTACTATTTAATTTGTATGTGTTGTGATGAAAAGTCGAGGTCATTACTGTATTTAGACGTGGTGTTAGGTGGGGTGGCCCTGTGCCTCAAATCGGCGTCTTTTTTCTCCTCCTCAAAAGGGATCCCACTTGCGGTCTGAGATCGGCGAAGGAATGTCAGCCTAAAATTTATTATACCCCTGAACAAACCCTGCGAATTGGAATCGAGTCGCATTCATCAGTCCAAGACTTACGATTTCAGGTGGATTTATATTCGCTACCAACGCGCATCCCGAAAACTTCTGGACTTCTTTGGGTGTCTGACAATCAATTGTTGATTGCGGCGCAAGGCTCCTTACAGTACGTAAATTCTAGAGAATTTAGAAAAAGGCCCACTCGCTAGTTATCAATAGGCGTGCAATGCAACTTCAATCATCGTCACGCAATTATAGATGCCCCGATGGGCCCTTGTATAATTCTTCTGGTGTTTTGAAAAGGTTCCTTCCCAAGTGATTAGGTTCGGTTACCCTTGTAGGCAAACCCAAAAGCGAGGAGGCCAAATTCCACCATCTCTGGTGATCTCTAAAAATGTCATCCGTTCGTAATCTAATGTCTCCGAGTGCTTGCTAGCTTCTTCTGAGATACCGTATCTTGTATAAAGTCTGACATTGGATATTTTGAGCTCCTGCATTTAAACTTCTTCGATACATCTGACTGGTTCTTTATAAATTAATGTCGTTTAGCAGCATGTCGAAAACTTCAAGAGAAATAAAGGGCATCAAAGACCACTTTGCTGCACAAAGTCCGGCATCTGGAATTCCATTCCATTCCAGACCTTTCTCTATGGAATATTCGATTGAATTTGCAAAGAGGTCTGAAAGGATTCCAGATATAATGGAGTTCGAAAGTCCAGCAATATACTTCCAGATGCCGAACCTTGATTTTGAAGAATTGCGCTCAAAATACTTTTAGGTTTAAAGCTTTAGATATACTTGAAAGAAATAGGAGGTTTGCATTCTGACTATTGAGGACTGATCTTAGGTCTACAAAGTGCATTGTAATATATTCAAAGCAGCATATAAATTTGAGACGTAAAACGCATGCTAATAGTCCAATACGGCTAAAATACCACTCGTGGGGCTTGAACCTTTTCTTTTGGATGAGAACTTCACTTGGAGTGAATGGGAAATAGGAAAATGTTTGGATGGGTTACCGCAGGCTAAGTCACGGGATCTCGCGTCGAGACAGGGATCCCTAGGGCGCGTATTTTCCGTCCGACAAACGGCAGTTGCTTGTTGAACACCATGACTCACCTCATACTCAGTCAAACCAAATCATCTAATTTGTGTCAAGATATATCCAGTTCATGAACACGATGGCATCTCAGAATTTGGTATTCGACCCAGAAGGTGACGTCAAATTCACTTTTGAGGAAGAGGCAGTGGAGAATGGCGATGAGCACAAAAAAGCTGGAAAGGCTGATGAGAAAGATTCAAATCCTCGCGGGTGAGGCATTCAAAGTTCAGTTCCTATAACATGGTTTCCTTGCTAATAAAATACTGAAGGAAGCGAAAGAGATCCAATTCAACCACACCAGAAGCACAAATAATAACCATGCTTGTCTCTTCTCGGCACTTGTCTTTAGCCTCCAACGTTTTTAAAGCCATGCTCCGACAAAATTTCCAGGAAGGAAACGAACTGAGTCTGAACGGGACAGTAACCATCAACCTCCCTGAGGACAACCCCGCCGCGTTCGAGATCCTAATGAATATCATTCACGCAAAGAACAGATCCATACCAAAGAAAGTGACCCTTCAAATGCTTGCAGAATTGGCTATTCTAGTCGACAAGTACAGAATGCACGAGTCAACAGGCTTTCTTGCTGATATGTGGATCGCAGAATTGGAAGAAGATATACCGCATAAAATGTGCGAGGACTTGATGCTTTGGATGGCCATTACGTATGTTTTCCGTCACGAGGAGCATTTTGAAGACGTGACCGCGACTGCTCGATATTATACAGTTGGAAAACGTTTTCGATTCAAACAGGGAGCAAGATTCTCTGAGTCTTTGCCAATCCCGGAGAAAGTAATTGGTGCGGAACAATCTTTGTTTGGTTTTTTCCCCTTGAATAAAAAGCTGATAACTTTTGCAGAGGAGGTCGATAGACTTCGACAACACGACATATGTTTGGCATTATCAAAGATAGGCGCTCTTATAAAACGACTTCAATCTCCTCAACCGAAATTGTGTCCGGCATCCATATTCATATGTGAGAGTTCACTTTTAGGAAGTCTTCTCAGAAGTGCTTTGTCCCTCAAGTTATGGCCGTTGCCAGAGAAGCCCTATGAGCAGCTATCCTTCCACGATGTTTCTTCATCCATAAAAAAGTTAGAAATACTGTCATACTGTCAAGCCAACCATAAAGGGCAAGATGGCCACTTCATCATGGATGGTATTCAGAGAGAAGTTGAAAACATCCGGTCACGCCAGTTTGGTGTCGAAATCGATTTCACTGGACACTGAAATTGCTTGTCGGAACTCTGGAAGGAATTTTGTTTGATTGATGGAGCTGGATTAATAGAGTGTTTGTACGTGGAGTGCAGTATCAGCTGTAGATTGCAGTCGATACCCATGGCAAAATTGGTTTACTCGAGTATTCCAAGGTTTGTGGATAGGCAGGCCTATTCCACACCCCAAATACAAAAGTTTTAGTTATAGGAAAGCGATTAAGGCATGTACTGTACATCAAATAGGAAATAGTCATATGATACAACCCGTATACCATACATGGATAACAACAATATACAGAGCGTATGTCCAATTGGTAGGCGTCAATCTCGCATAGAGGAAGCAGGTCCTATTGTCCCAGTCAGTTGGAGGAATGAGTGATGTTGTGTCACCTGGCTGCCAACTACTATAGAGACGAGGGGCCCTATATCATGAACTATTAGCCCTATATCTTCATACGGAAGATAAATTGTGGCATTTTTCTATAGGATATGGCTCAAGGTATCCATTTACAACTAGGAACTTTGGTTGTTCACGTGACGCGCGCGCAGTCACCGCTTGGAACAGAAATCAAGCCCTGCCACTAATCGACGTGCCAATTACGACTGTCTATCATACCGTAATTACAACTCTGATTTTCAAGAAGCAAGGAGGAAATAAAACGGACATCCCCATTTCATCCACTCAAAATTCATGGTTCCACAAGTTCTTGTCTTTGATTTTTATGGCGAGGTCATAGCCAAAAGGTAAAAGTTTCGACGGGATAGTTGCGATCAATTTAATCCTGATAGATAACATCCAGCTAAATTGATCTAGGTAGAGGAAGAGAGACGATTGCCAGCCGACGACACAATGTTGGTCTCCCGGCAATTATCACTGTCGTCACGTGTCTTCAAATCTATGCATCAATACACCTCTCACGAGGTAAAAGCTCTCCGGAGGAACGGAAGCGTAAAGATTCCTTTGCCAGATGATGATCCCGCGGCTTTCACTATCCTCATGAACATCGTCCACGCAAAGAATAAAGCTATCTCGTCGCAAATAGACCTTCCTTTGGTGACCCAATTTACTATCTTGGTCGATAAATATGAGATGCATGAAGCCGCAGGATTTATCGGAGAAATGTGAGTTGACAAGTTGGCGATGAATCCACCGGATGATATTGTATCTAAAACTTGTATGTTGGATACATGCCTGTTGGTTCTTTAGGAGGGAAGGAGAGTTTCCGAAGCAACCTTGGCTGCTTTGAAATTCGCATAAAAACTGGGATTTCATCGGATGGAGGAAAAATTGCTTTTTGAATCCCTTCCAATGTCAAATGGGTTATTGGTAAGACTTCTTCCCACGTACCAATTCGTTGTGCTGGTATGCTACATGATACTAACATAGGTCACAGAGACAATTGACCAGCGCCGTCAGGATTGGATCAAAGACGCGGTCGATACTATTGTCGGGATCTTAATATACCTCGAGCATGCTGCGAAGTGCGGTGGGCCTATACACTTTTGTCCAAGAAACAGTTCGGAATGCGAGGACATGATATATATCAGTCTTGCTAGAGGCGCCATGTGAGCAGGACCTTGGCCAATAACCAAGCCACGTTTTACTGACTTGGCGTATGACGCTATAGTCTCTGGTATGAAACAGCTTACTATGTCCTCTTTGTGTTTGACTGGACATGTTTCTGCGAAGGACCATGGACTCATTCGCTTAATAAGAGAATGACATGACCAGTAGCAAAAAGAGCATTATGGACTTGATCTACCACACTACATATCAGTGAAGAAAACATGGTTTTTATGTGTTATTAATGGACCAAGGGCTTTTCTTTCTTCGTTTGTCTGTCTTGCCAAACATGTTACTTGGGATTGGGGCTCTGATGAACTACAACAACTTTAGATGTAGAATTCCTCCTATATCATGTAAGATAATGGGCTTGAATCTCTCTCTGTTACTCCCAGATGGCCATGATTAATTAATCAACTCTTTTGGGAAGTCTTTTGCCAAGGTACCCAAGCTTTGGTAATTTATGTTTATAATCAATATAAGGCTTTAACAGTGCAACAATTCCTCAATATTTGGAAACGAATACATCATCCGATAAAGGCACAACGACTACGAGGCCGTATTCAACGCTTTTGGGGCTTCTGCATCTGTATCTGCATTATATGTTACAACTCAAACATGTGTCGTCGGTCAGATACTGACTGTAAAAACCCCCGACAGGGCCGGTAAAGGGCCTACTACTCTACATACTAACAATTAACAAAGGGTGTAGATATTGATATGAAGCTGAGGGTAGAGGTAAGTGGGCGTTGAAATATTCCGGGCATACATTCAGCAAGCGAAACGAAAAGACCAAGTCTCATGCACTAACGGAGCCCTTTCACTTCATGATTGCTACTCCGCCGCATCGAGAATAAGTGACTTGATCGCTACACATTCTAGCATTTTAGCATTTTGGTCCTCGCAAACCTCGCAAACCTCGTTTTAATTTCACAAGCCAGTTTCGAAATTCGTCTCAACTTCAGTATCATGCTAGCTATGCACTAGAAACCATATTTTTGACAGTAGAAAGAAGTCTGGATGGCGGTCTCAACACTAGTATCACGCTAGCTATGCGTTACGAAACCATACTTTTCACAGAAGATATATACTGGTACCGTACCCCTCTCGCCGTGTAGACCTTTTCCGTCTGTACCAATTCCGCTCGCCACTACTGCAGGTTCAGCTCAAAACAAAACTCCTTCAATAATCACCTTTGATTCAGAAAGGTATACATATCTTCGAAAAATATTCATAATGCGATTTCTAACCTCTATCTTCATCGCCGTTCTAGCGTCTGGCGCAATAACAAATGCATCCACCATCGCAAGATGCAAAAGCGACACTTCCACGGTCGCCGCCAACGACAATGCCACCAAGAAGGCATGCGGCGCATACAAAAATAACGGCTGCCCCAATTGCGCCTTCGTAAACAACGACGGTGCATTTTGCGAGAATACTAGGGGGGATATTGTTGCCGACGACTGGGACGCGCTTTGCAAACTTAATGGTTCTACTGGGTCAGAAGTTCACAATGAACTTTGATGATTATGCTAGCATGCATATTGTTATGGAAGGGTGTGGGACTTGGACAATGAGTGGCATTGATTGCTATATGGATGTGTTCAGTGTTTGCTTGAAACGAGTTATGTCGCTAAGGCTTTGAGGCCTTGACTTCCACTGGACTTCTAATGTTTTTGGTCTATTTGGCACTTTTGAGCCTCAGTTGGGCGACTCTGAACTTGTTGGCGAGGATGCAAAGGGATCGTTGTCGTCCGAAATTCCTTAGTCGCCTCACGTCTCATGTTGAAGTCATGCAAAATGCACATGGGATTCTCAACAAGTCTGGAGCTCGCCAAAGTACAGCTAACTACAGTAACGAACCTCGACAAATTTGTCAACTCATATGATATGGCGATATTTAGTAAGGAATTGGAAGTTGGTTGTGCTCACTCCCACATAGCTCTGGCTTCAGAGAAGTGAGAGGATTGGTTGTTGCTTATCCAATCGAATCTGCTTTGTGGGCAGGACCAGAGGATATAACACGGGTGGCACGCGCAAGTCTGGGCCAGAAACGATACCTGATACTGTAGAACGTTGGTGGACATATTTTCCATCGAGGCCTTCGCTAAAATTATTGGGTAATTCATCCATTAGACAGACTGCATACTGTACAATAGCTATACAAAGAATCCTCGATACGAGTATACGCAAACGTTTCCTGCAGCTAAAACAACCCTACTATAAGGGTAACATCTGTTATAACCTTATGGATACCGGCTCCGACCATATCCTAGTATCGAGGTTCTTATGTAATGGCTCGCCTTGGTAGCCTCGGATCGGGATGGTGAAAAGGACAGCATTTTCGGAGTAATACTCGGTATCTGCGGTCCATACGCAAACCCCGGTTCCCAGTGCAAACACCAAAAGACTTTGGAAGTCCTTGCCCTAACTAGCTTTGACGTTTGAAGGTTCGTGATCATCCTTGTAGGGTCATCGTAAATCAAGCCCTTCGCCCCATCTTAAGATGAAACAACAGAAATTAGAAACACGGTGGGCATCCCGAAATAGACCCACCGAACAACAATTACGCACTTCTGAATCTTCTGTAGACGCTTAACAGCATACCCTAGGCGTATATATCTGCTACGGACATTCTCTTGCATCTGACTGGTCGGTTACACACCAGGCGAAGGATACCCAGCAAGGTCTGCAAAAACGTTGCATGGCGCCAATGTAGATTGACACCCCGGAACAAACATCACCCCCGTAAGATATACTTGCCGAGTCACGATGTGGGTACGAGGGTTGGGAAACAAGAAACCATATCAAAGGCCGTGGTGCCTGCATTCACATAAAATGACGACAGAAGCACAGAGTGCTTTTCATTCCGCCCGGAACCCAAACTAACCATGATAAAATCATCACCACTTGCATGGGCGATGCACCGTAGACAGCGAGTAAATGTGCTGCTCGGTCTCATCGGCTTCATAGCTGTCTGTCATTACACCCTCTCGCTATTCTCAACAAACAGCTATCCCCAAAATCGCAACCTGTCAATGGTCACAAACACGCCAGAGAAATCCGCGGGATTTTCGCACAAAGGGCAACGACCAACGAAAGCACTAGTTGTTGCAAGTATGTCATCAGATGACACTTCGTGGATCCAGGACAATATTCGAGGCTGGCAAATCAACAGATATATTGGAGACTCTGAAGTTTCTCATCCCAGGGTACCCAAAAACAAAGGCCGTGAGGCAATGGTATATCTTTCATACATGATCGATTACTACGACACCCTTCCAGATGTCATGGTCTTTATGCACAGCCAGCGGTATCAATGGCACAACGATGACCCTTTATATGGTTAGTTTCCGTCCTCCAACGCAGAGTAACGCAACTTACTTACGAAAATTCAGACGGTGTTCCCGTACTTCAAAATCTGCAAATCCCATTCGTTTTATCCCAAGGCTACGTAAATCTTCGATGCGTTTGGATCTTGGGTTGTCCAGCTGAGTTGCAGCTTGACCCAGAATTCATAAACTCACCCGAACAAGCTTCTCAAACCACCCAACTAGAATATGGTAAAGCCTTTGGAGAAATTTTCCCAAATGAGACCCTCCCCATGGTCGTTGGTGTCTCCTGTTGTGGTCAGTTTGCACTCACGCGAGAAAAGATTCGTTCAAGGTCTCGGGAAGACTATATCCACTGGCGACAATGGCTTCTGGAAACACCACTAGATGACGCTATTAGTGGTCGAGTTTTCGAATATTCATGGCACATTATTTTTGGGAAAGAAGCAGTCCATTGCCCAAATGCAAAGGAATGTTATTGTAACGTTTTTGGGCTTTGCAACCTGGAGTGTGGGGAAGAAGGAACATGTGGCAATCGATGGATACTCCCACCTTCATCGACTCTGCCACAAGGCTGGCCTGCCAGAGGATGGAATGGAGAAAGTCAAGATGAGGAGACTTTAGCGCGGTTACGGAATAGCTCGATTTCTCCTACTTGAGTCTTCGAGGTTCGACTTAAAGACGAAATTTTGGTATGAGCATGGGAATATCAACTTCCGAACCTTATTGGGCCTCTACAGAAGTCGGGAATCTGCTCACTGAACCTTGCCCTGGTGGTAACGGGGAGATGGCCACCAAATGAAAAAGCCTGTGGTTCGGTGTGCCGCGCTGCAGGAGATTTTCCTCGAATGGTCGCGACTAACGGGCAAATCGCGTTGTGTTGAGGAAAATGGAATGGGATCGTCGTCCCATGGGTGGAAATGAATGTGGACAAGGCTTGTTAAGATCGTCTATAAATTGTAACGTGTTAGCTCCAAAGTGCTTGGAACGACACCATCGGGTTACAAACATAGATAAAACAATATGGCAAATTTAATAAAGATAGACTAGAGATATGTGGGTACAGAAATAATATACTTGATTCAAGATCTCTTAAGCGAAAAAATGCGTAGAACCTCTCACTTCTGGTCATCCATACTCTTCTGCTATTGGATCGATGCCGATTGCTGAGGGGCATGCAACCAACCAACGATGGACACCAATTCATTTTTCAAATGCCCCATACTATTGCAAAATGATGCCCAGAGATGACAGAAGTGACAAGGATATTTCAGGAGCTGTGAGATAATTCCTATAAGCTGTATAACAAAAACGCTGAACGTGCGTCTATGGTTTGAATGTATCTATACTCTCCGGCTCGTCGTGTTCGGCCTTTTCCATTATATCGGCCTCCTCATCTTCTGCAGCCCTATTCTTAACAATTTTAGGGTGCCATCCGTGCCGACATATATCTAGTGCAGTTCGAAATCTTTCGTTCCGGTAATCGAGTCAAGGCAATCATATAGCCAACCTAATTTGAGGAATTTGAGTCGTCTGTTCTGATCAAGGGTCGCCAGACGATCTTGCAATCTTTGGGTGATATCTTCGAAAGATGGTCCACCAAGGCATCCCCAAAGTGAGAAAATAAAAGCTAGAGTAAGGAAGACAAAAGGGAGGATGCAAAGTACAGCAGTGGCTATAGTTAGTATAGCTTGGATTGTGACCCCCAAAACTTTGTTGAATGTATCGTTAACCAGCACTGCCGTGGGCGCAATAATGCGAATGATAATAACTCTGATCTGATATGTCCAGGACGGTGATGAAGATTTCAGTCGCCCTGGTACTGCCACTTTCACAGTTGACACATCCTTGTCCCGCAGCTCGAGCGTCAATATAGGGCCTCTTTCTATACTAGGGCTCTCGACGATATAATATTAAGATATATTTCGAAAATCGTTTTCTCCTTGACTCCATTTGCATATCTTGGCAATGATTGGGATGGTAACTACATCCTTATGTATCCACCAATAGAGCAATACTGCATCTGCAAATCGGAACCAAGGAAGATTTGCACCGTCTTTATCACCTAACCGCGCAATTATACCCGCATGTTGCGGGTACGTGAGACGCATGTTCCATTCCTTAAGCAAAGTGGTGGCCCGCTTTTGGATAATGAGGTCGTCAAGGGAAGCACGATCTGGGAGTTTCGACATGACTTTCAAAACTTTATCGATTTTGGTCCTCTTTATGACACTGGTGTCTAGATATGAACACGATTCGAGTTTCTCTAGAAGCTCGGATGTTCGTTCTACGTCTCGTATTTCTGGTCGTTGACCAGGGCTTAAGACACCTTTCTGGATTTCATGCCGCAAGGACAAGACCTCTTTCTGGGTGAATATTTAGTTATGCTATTTTGATATGGATGCACACATTACCTCTATCATTGCCCGCTTATGTTCTGCAGCCGTCGAGAGCCGTATTTCCAACGATTCTTCGGTCGCATTGGTTTCTCGCTCTTGAAATAAAGGTAAAATATGGTCTTGGCCTATGCGGATAGTGAGATTATCGGGATCGAATTGATAATCCAGCGCGAAGCCCGAACGGCCGTAATTAGAACCCCATCCCCTGGATTCCTCCGTGCTGAGTAGACAACTATGAGCTATTTTTCGAGACACACATGGATACAAGGAACCTACCGATATACTCTGGTGAGAGTCTTGCCGGAAAGAAGCGTTCTCGTTGGATAGTCGACGCCGTTGCCATCGGCACGTTCTGGATTTGGAGAGGGAAGAAATGCCCACAATAATGCCAGGGCGAGCCAAGCCAACACCATGTATAGAACAGTTCGGATGGCGAAACGCATTAGTTGTCGATGAACTCTCATCTCTGGTACATTTAAGGTTCTCAGTGGGGCGGGATCGATGCTGTTGACTGAGTCCATGGGGATGGTGTTGTCGCGGAGTGAAAGATACATTAAGAGTGGGGCTCACCGGAGCTTCTTCTGCGGCGAAGCCTGCGCGGTAAGCCTGTATCATTTTTCTGAAATTCAAAGAACCCCACTATAGTGTTTTCTATCTATCTGTCATATTCTTGTATTTGAATCTCTCGATCCTTATCGATTACGGTACATTTAAGGTACAATATCGTTCTGCGTTGAGCTGTAAGATTACACACCGGCATCCAGTGTTTTGATGGGTGTGGCACAGGCTATGCTGGGAGCAAGTATCTATGTACTGTACTTCCAGACGATACACAAACATCACAGGAAGATAAGAGGAACTTTTGTGTTTTGGTACCAGTTTTGGCGCTACTTTTGAATTGAAGTAAGAGAAACTCCTTTTCTCTAGCACTTTTGTAATCACACTAATTCTCCCATAATGGATTCAAGCCTCCAATCGTTAAGTATGGATAGACGATATTGAGAGTTTGGTTTTAGCTATTGCTGTTCTAGGGGTTTGGGTACTTTGTTTCTCCTTCCCATAAGCAATAAGACAATTCGATATACCTACGATCAACCTTCAGAATCAGTCCTCGATGATGAAAGCTTTCAGAAAGTAACAAAGTGATCCTCCTGACTTTCAAAAACACAAAGCTGCCTTAATAAAGCCATTCTTCAAAGATTTTTCAGTTCTCATGGCAGCTACAGGTTTGGCATGCCAAAGGCTCAGAATTACTGCGAGTCATTAGGGGCTTAAGCGAACCGAGTCAGCCAAGGTAACAATGACGTAGATTTTGATGGCGCTTCATAAGCTTACATAGTTCCGATGTAGAACATGAGCCAAAGAAAGTTTTTTTATTTAGTGCTGACAACTTGACGCACCTGACTGGATAATTCTCAAGTACATAGACGGGCTTGAGGTATCTATCGTCCAGTTTCATTGTGTAACATCACACCCTGCCACCAGCGCCTCATTTTCAGCTCCGAAGACACTAGGTATCACAGCTAGCACTTCTGCATAGAGGGGTAATGAGGGGCAGTGTAGCCACAAAAGTGAACGTAATACGAGATCAATGCAAGAACAACAAATATCTGCCGGCGGGTTGCCTAGGATCGTATGATGTCCGCCTGACTTCAGCCCTATTTTGACTTGAAGTTGGAATCTTCTTATTGGAAAACAAACTTCTGGATTCAATGCGAGATCCGTGGCTTGCGTTCATATGTTTGATCAGATTATAGTGTGAGATCGGCAAAGTACACCGCTCAATGGATCTAGGCAATCCGATGCTATGTCCAACCCGGGATTGAGTTCGATAGTAGCACGGTTAAGGACATATCTTACATGTTAATGTTGTACGTTTGGAAACGTCCAAGTCGGTTTTCCCCGATTGAATATGATCATCGAAATTTATTGGGTAATAAATTTGCGTTGCTATCCTCTCCTAGGTATATAAAACACAGCATTCCCATTCTCAAGACCCCCCCACATAGCATAACTTCAAAAAGAAATAGAAGCTATCACTCCAATTCAAACAACGAAATGAAATACACTCTGTTCTTCGCTTCCGCCTTGGCGACTTTGGCCACTGCCATGCCAACAACACCAAACATAGCCGCCCGCGATCCATTTACAGGTTACCGACCACTCACCTTAACCCTCCACGGCGGCCCATCAACATACACACTTAACATGGTGGCAGATGGAAACACCTACTACACAAGTATCAATTCACTCTCACCTCACAGTCCCGAAAAAACTAACAGCAACCCAGACAACAACCTCAACGTAAACAACATTGAAGTCGCAGAAAATTTCAATCTCTGGGGTCTCTGCAACTTCTACACAACCGGCCCAATACGAATTTCACCACCACCATCCGGCTCAGGAAAGACTGTGCAACTCGGTCCTCCTCAACCAATAACCGCAGTCGCTTGCCAACCAACACCTAATCCACCAGGAACCTGTCTCCCGGTCTATGCTTCGTGTGAGTGGTGTGGTGGTGGAATCAGAGGCTGTATGCTTTCATCATGCTGTACCGGTTTCTGTGCCGCTACGAAATGTCGACCTTTTCCTCCAACCCAAACCTAAGGAAAGGGTCCTTGAAGAAACTTCTCATCAGGATTCATGGGTGCGGAATATAGATTTGAGGAAATAAGGAGCTTTGAGATGGTAGATCGTGGGATAGAGTAATGATAAGATTCTTGACAGTACTCGAATATCTCAATACTATGCATAACACTTTACTAGCAACCTTTATCCCCCCGCTTCCCCCCAAAGTTTTTATTCCTCTTTACCCGCCAACCAATCCCTCATTTCTTTAAGAAGCAAATAAATGAGAAGAAATCGGATTATAATGTCTTTGTACTAGGTGGTTAGCTACGGACTGTTCCCCGTCGTTCCACACACCGACTCTATATTCACAGCATAATTACTAAGTCAGGATCTCATGAGCCCCGATAATGGTGCTTTCCAAGATTTGTTTATTTTTGGTAGAGAGCATCGTGGAGAAGTTTATATGCACATATATGTATATCCCAGATATCATAGTTCCAATAGCAACGTTCGACATTTGGAGAACGGTTCTCGAAGGATTCTAAGATTCTATTCGAAGGTGGAATATTCTAAAGGCTCTTTAATTTGGAATGGAATACTTGAGTATTCCAAAGAATAAGGCTTCGGATTATGGAATTCTAAAGGAGATATATATCAATTTTCAGCCAATAAGAGACCTCCATTTGTTATAAAGTGAGGACTGAAACTGTGGTTATTGCCCACGCCTAATTAATTATTATCTCCTAGATATAAATCTTAAGCCTGAATCCCCTCATCTATTAATTCTTTTAATATATTGTTGTGCTGGGTCTACTTTCTCTTTTGCTCCACTTCCTGATTTGATCCACTTATAGGTCTGCTGCCTAAATGCTTCATGTCTGCCTAAACCTTACACTCTTTATATAAACACCTTAGATAGCTACCTTTTACAATGCAATCAATTCTCCATGACCTTCAGTACCCAATACCCTTTCAACCCAATATATATTTTTAGATACAATATATATAAGAGCGATATTGTTAATAGTATTAATAGTATCAATGGTTTTACAAGTATCTAGTATTCATTCTTAGTATAAGCACGTGCCCTTAGTATATCGCTTAGCAGTAATACACGTACTTATATTATTTGACCTAGCTACTCGTACGCTACGTGACAAATAGTAATTCTCAGGCTAAACCCAGGCTTCCTATTAGTATCTCTTATACCGTACCTTGGATACTGATGTTTTCCGCATTTTCTGTTACAGTACTTAGATGGAATCGTCTCGTCTTATAACGAACGGTGTAAGTTTGGGTCCGAAGTACTAGTCATCGGAATCCCCCATTCGTCTTAATATACTTCGTCCGAAGCCGCCACACAAGGATCTTACTGTGCAGTCATATGGTATAGTACAGACGCCCTCAGATTATTTCTGGAAAAGGCGTATTCTTCAGATGAGGAGCGGGAGTCGGAGGTCGGGCTTAGATAGTAAATTGTACTTTGGTAGTCTAATAAATTAGCGTGGTATAGGTGTATTCCATCAGCGATTTTTATTATTATAAACGACGTTTGTTAGCGTTGTATATGAACTTGTAGAGGGAATCTAAATACGCGGATCTTCGTAATTGTTATTATAAAACAAGGTATTAGACTTAAATAAATGGTAAATATTATCTAAGCCAGGTCCGTGTTAAATTATTCTATCAGCGAAAACAAGTAGGCTAGATATAAGAGGTCTAAATGGCTTTAATAATTATATAGAACAAGAATTATTTAAGTACTAATATAAGCTACTATAGGGAAAGTAGTAAAAAATGAAAATCTGTCCTAGAATGGGTGAGAGGAAGGATATTCGATGGGCTTACCGAGAATCTTACAGTGGGTAGTCCATAGACTGTAACTACGTTCATACACGAGTCCTCAGGACTCATTTTAACAGTCACTAATCCACACATACACCTCTATAAACCCACGATTAATTATGAAATTATATTCTAAAAAATCACTCCTCGACCACTCCTCACCCAACCCACAACATCCCTAAGCTCCAAGCGGAGGATAAACCGGAACATGATACCCATCCGGAATCTCCAACGCACCATGGTAATAATTCCTCGGTTGCAAACTCTCCCACGCCTCCTTGATGGCGGGTAACGTCGTGCGCCCATTGCGTCGCGAGTGCACGTCCGGCACGGGCTGCGGCGCCCATTTCCCCCGGGTGTTGAAGATCCCCGGGTAGGAGTAGTTGAAGAACATGGTGGAGAAGTCGCCGGTCCAGGTGCGGAGGCGGTCGCCCGTGTGGGAGGCGACCATGGAGAAGACGTTGGCGCCGACGTCCCAGCGGCCGAGGGTGTGGAGGTCCCTGAATAAGCTTGGGTTAGTGGTTGGTTTGGGGGAAGGGGGGATGGGAAGGTACCAGTTGGCTTCGACGGTGGAGATTTCGGAGTAGTGGTTGTAGTAGTTTGTATCTGTTGTTCCTACGAGCTCGGCGGGGACCGCGTCGCCGATGAGGACGGAGAAGATGTTGTTTTGGATGGAGTAGGTTTCGTTCTCGTCGAAGGTGATGAGGACGAGGGTATTCTGCATGAAGTTCTTGTCTGTGAGAAGTGGTTCCAGGAAGTTTCTAAGCCATTCCCCGGCAACGGTTACCGAGGTGTCGTGACCATCTGAAGTCATGTTGGGGGTGATGAACATCCATTGAGGGAGTGTATTGGCCTTGAGGTCTTCAAAGAATAAGGTGGTGTTCTTGACGAGGGCTGCTCTGTCGGGATTTGTAGCAACACTGTCGTACAAAATCTCGGGGCTGTAAAAGTGTTGGTTTTGTTGAAATTTCACTTCGAGAGAGGGGTTCGCTTACTTATGTTTGCGTACGTAATCATTAGCACCGTTTTGCTGATTCACATACTCAAAACCTTGAAATCCAGAGTAGGGCATGTCTTCTTGGTATACACCCCAAGTAATTCCCCTCTCTTCTAACAAATCAACCACAGACGACACATTTCGAGGAATGGCCGTAAAAGGATCCGAGTCAAGACCAAAATACTCGCCACCAACAGCAGCCACTATAATTAAAATCGGCAAATTATTTCCGTATCTTCTCATTGATCTGACTTCTGGTGTTCGAAATCCAGACAAGTGAATAACAAAACGAAAAAAACATACTGTAGTTTGGCTCACTTGGGTGAGTTACGGCAAATTTATTACGTAAAGTAATCCCCTTCTTGGCAAAGAACTGGAAGTTGGCTAGTTCCATGTAAGCGATACATTGGTCATAAGCGGGTAAAGAGAACTAACGATCGGCAGCAGCCATATCATAATCTGTGTTTTCGAACCAGATCGAGACATATCGATCAAAGACTTTACCCTTCACATTACTTGTAGGCGAGCGCGTGAGGGCACTGGCCTGAGCAGCGACAATGTCTGCTTTATCGATAGAAGTTGGATTTGGAGGAGCTGGGGCAGCGAGATTTTCTGGTCTAGCGATGACAGTCGGAGTTGTTCCTGGAGCAGCAATCACGACGGATGCCAAAGAGGCGGCAGACACCAAGGAGAAACGCATGTTGACTTGAGAGTTAAAAGAAGTCTTGAACACACACGATCACTAGCACATGGAATGGAAGTAGAAGCCAAGAATGCGGGATCGAGAGCTACTTGTACTTGATTGGAACCCAGATGGAGGGCTGATATTCCCTGCATCCTCCACAGCTTCCCAAGTAGGTACTGTACATGTAGGGTCCTCGAGTTGTACGGGACGGAGGACATGGATTCAGATAGTCGGGATGGCCCGAGGCTTTGGAAAGCAAATACTGTGATCTTACTCGAGTGCGTGGAGTCGAGGTCAATTATCACAGGTGGATGCTTAACGACGAAGTTTGGAGATACAGTAGTGAGTTCACTCTTAGTCGTGTGAATGGCATCTTATTTTTAGAATCGACTCACGACTAATGGTAAGTACTGTATTACACATTCGGTTGATGGATCATCTCACTCGACATTGGTGGCCACGCGAGCAGGCGGAGGGGAGGCCTCGTGCAGAAAGTTCCAGGAATGCAACGTTGAACGTACTCGTAGGGAGCCGAAATGGCAGACCTACATGTGTGCGACTCGTCCTTGAGTTCCTATATTGAATAGATCAGGAAAATATAAGACTCGCCCCCTCCCCTTAGGACGAAAAAATGTATACAAAAACCAAATAATTCCCTTCCTTGGGTTCTAGGCTAGGCCCTAGGCTAGGCTAGCTTCTAAGAGTGGAGAGAAGTGATATCAAGGTTGAAGCAGAATCTTTCCACCAGTCTTCTTCTTCTGATATTCCATATGTGGAGAAGAAGACAAGCTTTCAGGGTCTCACTACAAGGTATCGGGAGTCAATCATCTGCGAGAACGGTGGAGGTATCAGCTCAGCGTGGTGCGGATGATTGGATGTCACCGACCTTGGCCATGCACCCGTGGACCCTCCGTTCTCCCCGCCACAGAGAACCTGGAAGGGTGCCGCTGTCGCTGCCATTCCGCACTCCACGACCATGCCTATTTAGATCAGACTAACGTCCTTAAGGAAGGAGCAGGAACCTGTCTGCAGTAATGCAACTCTTACTCAAAAACCACTCCTTAGCCTCGTGCCAAGAAGATGTGTATTGATTGGAAGGATCATCGAGAATCGGGAGGTTGAGATTGAACCTCGAGAGATTCCATCCTGCAGCAGATCCGAATCCTCGGACAAGTGCTCCGTACGAGTACATACCTGTACGGAGGTACGTACCAGTGCCAATACTCGAGTACTTGTACCAGTATTCCACAGGTAGAAATCCCGGCCGAGGCAATCACATTCAGCAACTCCAATGCACAGCATATCGTGCGACCTGAGAGACACCAATGCCACCTTTACTACCCAAGTACGAGTACTGACACTGTGAATCGTGCATCGTCACATCTTTCTCTGTCACTACAGTATCACTATCACTTCTCCCTTGACTCCTTCTCCATCGAAGCCTTTCTCCTTCGCCCTTCCAATCGCCAGAACTCCCAAACAACCTTCCAGTTTCCCAAAGAGCCCCACGACTTGGCATACTCCATACACCTGGTATGATTGAGAGCGCATAGATCCTGCCCAGAAAATCAATCTCTTTTTCACTTCACGCAAACCGTGATTCGCAATTTCGCACTTCTTGCATCTCTATTCACTTCGACCGAACAGCGTGACGAAATCTAGACGTCACTCCCCCGAGAATGCCTTGAACCGAACAGCCATCGCGACGAACAAGTCAGCCTAATTACCGCGATTCAGAATGGCTTCCTACGAAGATGACACGTGTGCCACATCGGCCGATTTTCTCGAGGATGTAGACATGGACGATCTGGACCATGGGACGAGAGAAGGACAAGGCGATCGACTTCTGCCAGGCCATAATGAGGTAGATGACGAGAAGCTTGTTGAGGTCAATGGTGTACTCTACAAGGAGGAATGGCATCTGCGCCCCATCTGGGGGATCCTCGCGTCGATTTTGGTGGTATTAACCACCTTCTTCGCACTGATTGTACTTGCCCGGACCTTTATTATCCATAAAGACGTATTGGAAGAGTCAGTGGAAATCCAGGGGCTTGGAGGCTTTCGACGGCCGCCAACCGATTATATATTGGATCCGGCTTGGAATTTTGATGCGCCAAAGCAACGAAGAGAATACAAATGGACCTTGACAGATATTGTTGGAAACCCGGATGGCGTTTTTCGTCCCATGTTGACCGTGAACGGAATGTTTCCGGGTGAGATGATTGAGTGCAATGTTGGGGACACCATTGTTATCCATGTGGACAATCAGAGCAAAAATGCAAGTTCAATCCACTTTCATGGACTTTTCCAAAATGGCACGAATTATATGGACGGGGCGGCTGGGGTCACGCAATGTCCTATCGCACCTGGCCGCAAGTTTCGATACGAATTCACCATCACCGGCCAGCATGGCTCATATTATTATCATGGCCATCAAGCCGTGCAGGCCTCAGACGGGCTGTACGGACCTTTGATAGTTCATTCCCCAGAGGAGAGAAAACTGCAAAAAACCCCATACGCTTCGGATCGAGTTTTGATGTTGCAAGATTACTACCATGATATGAGCAGTGGGCTTTTGGCCAGCTCGCTGGAACCTGGTAGCGAGTCTTCTCCAATCCCAGATGGAGCTCTGATCAATGGTTTGAATAAAAGAGACTGTTCCAAGCTTCCTCATCGGATGTGTGACAACTCTACGTGCACATCACCACAGTTTGATTTGGCCACCAACGAGAATCATCGTCTACGGCTTATCAACGTAGGTGCTTTTGCTTGGTTTCAAGTGTCTATTGATGAGCATCAATTTAATATTACAGAAGTTGATGGAACTGACATCATGCCCGCCAACGATACAAGATTGATGATCGGCCCCGCTCAGCGGTATAGCATCATCTTGAAAGCAGATCAAACATCTAGCAATTCGTTTTGGCTCCGTGCTAGAATGGTATCTCATTGTTGGTCGAATCCGGAACTACCTGGCCCAGGAGCAGATGAAGTAATGGCCGCTATACAGTACATCCCAGCAGGAAAAAGGAGAAATAAAAAAGCTGTAATGGTACAACCGACGTCAAGAGCTCGGAGGCAGGGAATGGAAGTTGAATGTAGAGACATGAATACGACTACTTATATTCCTACAGAATTTCTACCGGCACCGGCTTATGCAGACCATAGTTATTACCTTCGGTCTAACCTTGAGATTGGCGACTGGAGACTTGAACGAGGATTTTTTAACTCATCCACCTTTCGTCCGAATCTCCAACAACCAACTTTACACCGATCTGTGGATGGACTAAGCAGCAGAAATGAATCATTTATAGCGAGCACTGAGATAAACGGAGTCAACTCTGTAGCGTACGATTTGAAAAACGATTTCCTGATCCAACACTATGGAGTCAAGACTGTGGATGTCATTATCCAGAATTTTGATGAGGGAAATCATCCCCTACACCTTCATGGCCATAAATTTTGGATTCTAGGTCAGGGACATGGCATGTTTCCTGGTTATGAGTCCCTAGGACTGAAACCAGAGGGAAAAGGTGTTGCTGAAGGGTGTGAGGGAGTGTTGGATAACCTGATGCGGCGGGATGTTGCAACGGCCGAAGGGTTCGGTTGGTTGGCGTTCAGGTTTATTGCAGATAACCCTGGTGTATGGGCTTTCCATTGCCATATGGCGTGGCATTCCGAGGCTGGTCTTTCCATGCAATTCCTGAGCCGAGTTGATGAAGTTGCCCAATGGCGAATTCCCGAGGCCAATCGTGAACTGTGTTCTGCGAAGATCGAGGATTTGGAGAAGGGAGCAGCACCAAAGGACAGTCAGTGGTTTGGATTTGGTATTGGTGGTTGATATTGAGAAGAAGAGTATGTAAACATTCAGGAGGTTCCAATTTGGGAACGTTTTGGCAGGAACGTGTTCTATGTCAGCTGGAAGCATTGAGCGATTGAGGGCACCCATGAAGACCTTCATGAGCATTATCATCCGTTCACATCGTCAAACCGGATGGCAAGATTTGTATTTGCTTTACCAGCTATATTCATCCCATGATGCCAATCGATTTCGACTCTCGACCACTCCGGGCTGCAATAGGCGAGAGCGCGACGACGCGTGTGGTGGAGAAAACTTTAAATAAGTTCGGTAAGCAAGATTGGTCTTGTTGCTCACATTTTCGCATCAAGCACAATCAGAAAGAGTATCCTGGTTGGTTTGGAATAGTAACTTGAATTGTCCCGTTAGATCTGGGACACACGGCGCGGAAGCAAGCTTCCGCGAGTCTGCATATATATATCTGTACATAGTATGAGCGTGAATATACCTGAGAAGATAGAAACATAAATCCACTCGATATATTAGCAAATAAGTCTCCTTATCTCGAGACATGTGAAGTGACTTAGGTAGAAGTACACCTGGTCCTCGTTTTATGTATATACCTCAGTGACGGAGATAATGGAGTTAAGGGAGTCTATTGTATTCCACCCGCCTGTCTTTAGTAAATTGTCTTTACGGCGAATGACTCATTAGTACGAGAGTAATGGAGCTGGTCTCAAGCCTCTTCTTGTCAGCCCACACATTTCCTCATATTGAGCGTAAATCTGCAACGACTAAATGCAATAGACCTTCTTAAGCGTGCCAAGCGAGGAAGGAGGACGCAATCTCACTACCTTGAATCTCTGCTTGAGAAAGCATTTGGCATTACAGACAATTTGTTTACTAGAGATTGGTCACCTTTTCTTTCTCTTCGGAGTCGCCTACAGTGTTGTATCGCCAATTCCGAATTTATCATCAGTGGCAAGCGTATTTGTCGTCGCGGTTGAGGCTTTTCACTTGCGAGAATTCACCTCATTTGGCCAGAGGAGACAGCAGACCCCTGCCGTTCCTTCCACGACGTCACCACAGAGTTGCTGACAAACCAGCACATAGTCATCCAATACAGCCAATCAACAGGAACGAGGCTCAAGACCCCACACGCGCGACGTGCATTCGCATTGCCTAGAGACCATCATTGACCATTGCGTACTCGTAGCACCCGCACTCACAGCTTTGACTCAACTCCAAGCACACCTGAAATTCGGGATTTGGAAGAATCCGCAGAACAAAACGGCGTCGCCGATTCGCAACATTTCTATTGCACTGGAATTTCTTGTCGGCCAAACAGAAAGCCGAGAGCAGCAGCAGCAGTCGTCGCATGCGAAACCGACTGTTTGCTACTAATCATCAGCCCGAGTTTCTTTCAACCTCGATCGTGAAGACGACAGCTGTAAGGCCTCCACAACCATCTCCACACTTCTCACCCCCTGGGATAGGACACATGGTGGCAAACGATGCTAATGGAGTTGTTTCCAGTTGCGAATCCAAATACCAAGCTGTCAGCCTTCCAGGCCATAGCTAGCGCGAGAAGCACGAGGAGGGGTTACAGGCGCAAACAGAACTATTTCTCCGTCAGTTGTTGAATCTGCAGCGCAGAGAGCTTCATACATTACAAATTGTCCTCGCCGGGCGAAGAGCCAATCTGATCTGCGCCGTCAAGGGTGTCTCCATTCTGCGGCAGGCCAACGAACATCGAGAGTCTCTACTCTCACAACCAGCAGGCGAGAACATCCCACACGCACTGTCAGAGTGACGGGGGTAATTGAACGTCCGGTGGCGCGAGCTCTCAAGCATTGCATTGAGTCGGTGTAGATTGTTGCCCACTTGATATCAAGGACTGGGTGGTCATCTTACGCCTGGAACTGTTGAGCGCAACGTTGTTCTTCCTGCTTAGGCACCTCGAGTGAGAGTGATTGAGACATTTGCAACTTGTTTGCCGAGAATACGGCAGGAGAAGGTCATAGAAAGTAGAGTACATCGACAGAATCTGCCCCCTCTGGGTAGGCTTCGATCGAAGATTGGTCTGGTTGCGAGGCAATCAACCAACTCAGGGAGACTGCGCGACATTTATAACCTCAGGATTCCGTTCGCGTCCGAGGCCAACGTTGCTGAGTGACTGTAGAGCTAGGGAAATATCTGCACAGTCGACAGGAATTCCAGGTATCGAGGAGCCCCGGCTCGCATACCTGATCTTACCCTTTCAAGGGCCGGTATCCAAAGAGGAGCGTTTGTGGCCTGTGGATCCACCTCTGTTTATTGGCTCTTTTGCCACAGAACCATCCTATTGCTGTCTGGTCAGCGTTGTATCTGGCCGATACAGCCCCCTCAGGAGCGGAATTACACTTGCGTTCTGATAGTGTTCTGGGGATCCCCCTCTAAGTTCTGACTGTTGGATTGTTCCCAACGTGGATTTTCACCCTTTACAAATCATAAATTGAACATGACGCCTACTCCCCCTTCTACCACGTCCTCGAGCGCTGGAGGCAACTCCCCAGATGGCCAATATCGTGTTGTGCGTAAGAGAAATCGGCTCCCTCTGTCATGTGGGCCATGTAGGCACCGAAAGTGAGTGGTATCCCACACTTGGGAAATCAAGATCTCCGGGCGCGCCGTAACACGCACACTGACACCTTACAGGCTAAAGTGTAACCGGTCGCACCCATGTGAGAACTGGTAAGCTGGCTATTTTTTTCTACTCTCCTCCATTCTAATTGTTCCAGTGGCCTCGTCTCCTCGATGAGAGGATCAATTATGCTAACTTTTCCAAGTGTACGAAGAGGAGATGCTTCCTCTTGCTCTTATGCTGCGCCCGGTTCGCGGAAGAAGAACCAAAGTCAAGGAGCAACCACACCTGATGATATGCAAAATCGTATTGACCGTTTAGAAGGCTTAGTTCTTTCCCTGATGACGAATGGCTCCCAGTCGGCTGGTCCTGCTGCGGCAGCTGCCGCAATTTCCCGATCCCAGAGTGATAGTGCAGGTTCCACTGGCCATCCCCTTGAACTTGAACTTGAAGATGGTGATATGATCAAAGAAGAAGATGAAGGTGAACATAGTGAAGTTGAAGGTGTTACTAACTCTCTGGGCCTTCTCAAAGTTGATCAAGATAAGGGAAAAGAACTGTATTTTGGCGATTCGCATTGGCACTCGGTTCTCAAAGATGTGGGTTTTCCTCCTTATCACCTTTTTTCTTGCACCCAATTTCCATACCTTCACGTTATTTCGTGCTGTTTACCGAGATCAGCGGGTTTGGCGAGGCTGTCGAGTTATAGCCAAAGCAAAGCAAAGCTCTGAAATATATACAGGACTTGGCAACCTCTATTGGCAATTTCGAGAATCCTTTGCTGGAGGCATTTGCAAGAAGCTTCTATTGGTATTGAAACAGGATCACTAATCCTTTGTACAGATCAACGAAGTCAAGCAATATTTCGCCACCCACAAAAAGGAGCTTGAGAGCAACATGGAAAAGATTCAAAAGTCTAAACCAACATCAGATGACAAATCACCCGCGTTTTTATTCAACTCACATGGACCAATCACGGATGGGGATTTGCGGGGAGAAGTTCCAACCAAGTCGGCCGTGGATAGGCTCGTAACCCGATACTTCAACTCATATGATCCAGCAGTTCATATCCTCCACTCTCCGACATTTCACAAACAACTTCAAGATCATTGGGAAGATCCAGCCAAAACCTCGATACTATGGCTTGGCCTTCTGTACTCGGTTTTATGTCTGGCCATGCAATCCTATAACAAGATTGGGGACGAGCCTATGGAATGGAAAGGTCAGTCATGAGATATAAGCTTTTTAGTATAACTCTAACATCCTGCCAGGTCGCACACGTGAATTGGCTGCAGAATATCGATTACGAACAGTACAGTGCCTTGTCAACTCTGACTACACGAAGTCGTCCATTAATACAATTGAGACATTGGTTCTCTACGTGCATGGAGAGTACGCAAATGGAGCAGATTCCGAGCTTGGTATGTGGGTCGTAGTTGGCATCATCGTCCGCCTGGCAATGCGTATGGGATATCATCGAGACCCCGGCAGCTTTGCAGGAATTAGTCCGTATCAAGCTGAGATGAGAAGACGTGTGTGGGCTTTTGTAAGACAAATGGACACCATGTATTCCTTCCAGCTTTCTCTCCCAGGAATGATCAGAAATTCGGATTGCGATTGCGCGTTACCGCGAAATATCTTTGAAGACGAATTTGGACCCGATTCCAAGGCGCTACCTCCTGCCAGACCCTTCACCGAGCCTACGCCTATTTCATACATGATTATCAAGGCTCAAATATCCTTTGAATTTGGCTCCATCTTGGAAGAAATTAATGCCGTTCAAGGAAGCCCTATGAGCTATGAAGAGATTTTGAAGCGAGATACTCGGTTGAGGGAGTTGAAAGACAACATGCCACCACACCTACGTCTACGACCTCTAGAGGAATGTATGCATGACCCTGCTACATTACTCATGCAGCGGTTCAACCTCGATATTTTTTGGCAAAAGACTCTTTGCGTACTTCACCGAAAACATCTTATGCGGGCTCGACACAATCCTCGTTACGCATACTCACGCCGAGTTTGTGTCGAGGCAGCGATGGAAGTTTTGCGTCATCAAGCAAAACTTTATCAAGAGTCTCAGCACAGTGGTCGTATGAGAGCGATGAGATGGTTTATCTCATTTCTTACAAAGAATGACTATATGCTTGCCGCGATGGTCGTATGTGTCGATCAATATTACGATAGGATCGCTGAGTCGATGCCTGTACGCCCAAGCGGCCACGACCTCTACTTCTGGACCCCAAGCCAGAAAGCTGAAATGCTTTCAAGTCTTGAAAAGTCTCAGCAAATCTGGGCGGAATCAGCCGAAACGTCTATGGATGCATACAAAGCATCCAACGTCCTCAAAGTCTTACTTGACAATGTCAGGATTCCGTCGGGGATAGATGCAACCGCTGCTCCACAAGGCATTCCGCATTTCAACGAGGACAGCATGAGGCCTGAGCATTCTGCAGCAATGACACTTGGTATGCTTTCTGGGGGACTGACCCCGAACTCTACGGCCTTCCTAGGACCAGTCTCACAGTCTTCTGGTGGCACTAGATATCCTAATTTGGATACCAACATGGCGGAATCCACGGGGACGGGTCTTACACCAGCTTTCCAAATTGAGAATCCGTTTGCGTCTATGAATAATTTGGACGCACCGTTCTCATCCATGTTTAATACTTCCACTACAGGTGCTGGGTTCATGGATCTACCCGCCAACCTGGACTGGGTATGTCATTTCTTCTGGTCTCCTTTTTCCAGTAACCCTCTATTTTCTTCCATTTTTGATAATTTTATGGAATTTGTCTTACTAACTGATTGCAAATAGGGAGCTTGGGACTCATTTATGCAGAATGGCGGCACGATCGATCCTGCATTCAGTTTCTATCCCACGAATATGGATTCTGATATATCTCCCGGCGCGGATAAACAGCAACAGCAGGGAGATCCGAATCAGTTTGGAAATGGAGTTTTTATGGGGGCCAATACTCCTGGTCGATGAGGTTATGAAAATATGAGATGGTTTACGGCATCGACCGTTAGGATTTTGATGAGGTCACGCATTGAATAGTCCTTGTTGTCTCTGAGGGAGTTGGGGAGGGGGGAATGAATATATGGGTTGATCCATGGAGTGATAAATGGACAGACAAATGGGTACAGTACAGTACATTTGATTTGGGTTGGGAAGGAAGGAAAAAAAACATCTCTCCACTTCCTTTTTCTCTCTTTTGTGGGGGTTCTTTGGCGTTCCGTTTGGGATGGATGGATGGAAGAATGAGTTTGTCTATAATACCCCCTTTAGCTATCCAGCCAGAAATTGAGATATACCTTCTTCTTTTTTCTCTTCTTCTTCTTTTTAATGTAGACTTTTGGTTTTTGGTTTTTAGGGTTTTGTTGGAGTATAGTAAGAGGCTATATTGCTACGGCATCCTGAACGTCATCTTACACTTATATAGGTCCTCGCTTAGCCCCAGGTCATGAAGAAATCAAGATGATTCTTACTCTTGAGATTTGTAAGCGCGGTTAGGTATATCCTTTATACTTTATTTGTGGGACTTCAACTACGTTATTTTACTATTTAATTTCGCTTACTTATTAGATTGAATTGGTAGATGATAGATCTTACCTTCTGAACAGCGTGGTAAATTCGAGTAGTTGAGTTGAGTAGTAGTACCTACTCAACTCAACTCGAGTAGTCAAAATCACTAATCAACTCAACTCGCCAAGTACTCGATTAACTCATAAGTAACTCAAGTAGTGTCGGCCCGATACCACGTAGCGTGCCCGGCCTCGCTGGCCGACTCCGGACGAGCGGTCCGCCCACGTATACTTAGCCGAGTGCCCCCGCCTTAGGAGTCGGGGCTAATAAATGATCTAGACTACTTTCGTCGACTCCCCCTCCCCTATATACGACTTGTTACTTGTATAGGCAGGGTACAAGCCTGTAATATAACCCTCTTAGCTAATTGGGTTGTCCGATTCATATAGAGGTATATTAGAAATTAACTAAGAAAGGGGGGGAAAGGGGGGGTAGGGGGTGGGGGGAAACCCAAGCTAGCTAGACCCTTTTATTGTTAATCTACATAACAGGGACAGGGTCTTTTAGTCACGTTTTATATGACTACTCGAGTAATACTTAAATAGTCAAATCCACTACTTAACTCAACTCAACGGAATCACCCAATCATACTCATTCAACTCAACTCGAGTACTACTCGAGTCGGTTTGAGTATTTGATTAGAAGTGTTACCACGCTGCTTCTGAAGATATCTCAGTTGTAAGAGATAGATGCTATGTATTCTTATGTCCGGATGATACCTCTCTGTATTTACAGTAAGATCGAAAGATCTAGAAGTTTTAATTCTTGAAAGTTTTTGGAAATTTGAAAAGGAGTCTTATAGAAAGACTAAAGCGAAATTAGAAAAATCTATTCATTTTTGTCTCCATATTTATGTTCATTCGTCAGTCGGTACACGTCATATCAAATGAGGCTGATGGTTGGTTGTCTTTTGTATTGCTGGCTAGCTCCAAGTGCTTATAATTCGCCCACATATAGCGGAAAGCGGATAATAGGCACCCTCAGCCGTATTGAGCAGCGCGAAAGGAAGCAGCTACAAAACAAAACAAGGGGAAAACAAGGGGGAAAACCAAGAATAAGACGAAGAAGGGAGATAAGAAAGGACTATCCTTTTAACACTCTCCTAGCGAGTAGGCATATCTACCGCGTAATGAATAATCTATACCGACTGATCTCCACCGCCTACCCTAGTCCCTCCAACTCCGTAACAAGATAAATATATAAATCTTATAACCTTCTTAATTTCCTTATCCTTACTATACTTATCTTATTTAGCTATCTTACCTATAGTATTAATTTATATCTCTAGGTTATAGATCTTATTATAGGTATAAGAAATATAATAATACCTATTTATCTTACTTTATACCCTAGGCTTTATATAAATACTATAAGCCTATAAGAAGTTTCTAGGCTCTTTTATTTCTGATAATTCCCTCTAGGTCTTTCTATTAGAACTAATAAGAATATACTAAGCTCTTAATATAAATTTTAATTAGCGTTTATTCTTATAATCTAGTATACTCTACTTAAGCTGTAGAAGTTCTTAAACTAATAAAAAAAGAAATATATTAATAAGTTTTAGTTTTTTTAGTCTAATAATTAACTAGGTAAGTAATATATATTTATAGGTATATTAAAGGTATAGCTTTAAATTTAATTCCTTAAGAATTACTAGCGTTATATAATATTAGCCTTTAAATAAGATATTTAAACTATCTACTATTATTTATAATACTATATCTATTATAGTAACTTTATATTAGCCTAACGTTTATAATAATAACCTTCTTATACTTATCTTTAAAATAACCCTTTCTTAATTCTATAGTATAACCTATATAAGATCTCTATAGAAAATATTACTTATTTATTCCCCTAGACCCTAAATAGTCTACTTATAGTAATAAGTAGCTAATATCTAACTTTACTAAGTTTAATACTTTTAAAATAAGTAAGGCCTTATGAGATTTATAACTAGTATTAATATTTTATATTCTACTTTAAAAATATAGTTAATAATATTATAATTTTCTAATAGAGATTACTAGTACTTATATCTAATAGTAAAGGCGGTTTATTTGGATCTTTGATTTCTTTATCTCTAATTTTATTATTTTTAATTCTTATATTCTCTTTTTTTACTTTATTCTCTTTATTTCCTTTATTCTTTTTATTTCTTTTATCTCTAGTAATTCTATTATTCCATTTATCCCTTATATCTCTAGTAATTCTATTATTTCTTTTATCTTTATAAGATATTTCTAGCTCTAGTTATTTACTTATACTTTTACTTATAATATCTATTAGATTATTAATAGAAGTAGCTTTATTTCTACTACTATTCTTGTTTTTAGTTAAATCGTCTTTTTATTAATCCTAATTAAACCTATAAGTTCTTTATATTTATAAAGGTAAGTATATTTTACTAGGTAAATAAATATTATACTTATATAGATAATTAGTTAACCTAGATATTTACCTTATTTAATAAAGGCTATATATATCTATATACTTTATAATAGTTCTTAGATTATAGAGTTTTATATATTTATATCTAATATAAGGATATATAATATAATAAATACTCCTTCTATATACTATAGAAACATTAATATTATATCTTACTCTAATTTAAGAAGATCTATACTAGAATCTATTATAGTATCTAAAAGTATTCTAAATATTTATCTGATTAAAGAGATAAGTAAGAAGTTAACTAAATAAATTTATAATTACTTAAAGGTTAAAAGGAACTATATCCTCTAGTTATAAAAGAGATTTATAATCTTATAATTTAACTAATAGCTAAAGTAAATAATTAAGTACTAGGTATAACCTAATAACCCAGTTTCAAATAATTAGGCTTAGACCTAGAACCTATCTCTACTTTTTATAAATATCTACTCTCCTTTAAAATACTTAAAAGCTTTTAGTATTACTTTTTTTTAGAGCTAAGAAATACTCTTCTAGGTTTTTCTTAACTTCTTTTTAAGAAGTATAATAAGTTACCTTTATAACTTATTATACTACCTTAATACCTCTCTTTCTTTTACCTACCTTTAAGCTATAACTACTACTTTATATACCTACTCTCTCTCTATTTGTTTTACTAAGTAAATCTCTTAGTAGACGTCTTTATATATCTCCTTACATAATTTATAAATAGAATACTCTCTAATACCTTTTAAAATTTTAATAAAAAACCTAAATTTCCTTCTAATTTCCTCTATCTTCTTTATATTCCTTCTATAAAAGGCGTGATACTAAAGATAAATTTCCTTTTATAGTCCTCTTAAATATATAGCCACTACTACTTTATAATATATCTTAATATTCCCTAATAATCTCATAATTTTAAGATCTACAGGATCTATTACTTATATATTAGTATTATATCTAAAATCTATTAATAAATTATACTTAATTTAGTAACTAAAAATAATAAAAGTAAACTAAGTAAAGTAATAATAATTAGGTTTATAATTAACTTAAAGATAAATAATATAGTAGAAATAGATAATATATTAAGAGACTAAGAATAGATTATATATAATCTATAGTTAATAATCTAAATAGAAAATAGAAGAGATATTAAAGTAGTAGTATATTATTAGTTATTATTAAAAGAAAGAACTTAAAGTTTGAATCCTATACTATTTTATAGACAAGGTTACTAAGTTTAACTTAGTTAACCCTATTAGCTAAAATTAGATAATTCCTATCCCTAGGTACCTTTAGAATACCTTATTAGATTTAATTATAGAATATTTTATAATCCTTACTTTAGAATCCTATTATACCTAGGTCTTTATACTTAATATATACGTTTTTATTATCCTTCGAGTTTATTTACCTTAATTATAAAGTTATATTATATATAAGGCTACCCCTCCTTTTAAGATAAAATAATATAAATATAGAGTCTATATTTATACTTATATTAATATAGATATAGATATATATTATATCTAATATTTACTCCCCTTTATTACTAACTTCCTAAACCTACTTTTCTCTCTCTTGAAATAAATCTACTTTAATATTATCCTAAAAAGCTTTATAAATAATATATCTTAATAATTATTACTATAATTATTCTAGTAATCTAATAATAATAATATTAAATAAGTTATTAGAAAACTTATAAGGATATAAATCTTATTTCTTATAGGTATAAGAAATAGTAGACTTATATTAAAAGTAGCTATTAGCTAACTAGTTTATAAGCTTTATAACTATTATAATATTAATAAGAAATATAGCTCTTAGTTCTATTATAGGAATATTAAAGAGACTAAAGAAAATAGTAAGATTTTATTAAAGTAGTTTAATAATATATAAATATAGTATATATAGAGCTTAGAATAAATTATAACTATAAGAATCGATACTACTATAACTTTATATTCAATTAGTATAGCTACTTATAGACTTTAATATTACCTAAGTATAAGAAGGTAGTCTATAATTAGGTAATAAGAAAGTTTCCTAGAATAGCCTATTTTCTTAAGGAATAGCCTATTAATAAAATTATATAAATATATATTACTAAGACTATTAGTAATACTTAGTAGGTGTATAAAAACAAGAAGAAGAGGGCCAAGAAGAAATAAGAAATCGATATAATTATATAGTAAACTAAGGTAACCCAGGTAGTAATTAAAGAGTTATATCTATTTCTCCTAGTAGTAGTAGCTTAGATTAATATAAAAGAAAGGGAGCTTAGTATATCTAAGAGTTAATT